TATATATATATATATATATATATATATATATATATATATATATATATATATATATATATATATATATATATAAACAGGGCTTGAAATAACGAACTTTTTTATACTGGACAATTTGTTTGATAAAGATTCAAGTTTGCTGGGCATGTTCGATAAAAATTAAAGAAATGTGATTGAACACCATTACTGATCATGAATAAAATATTTTGTTTTTATAACTTGACCACGCAATTTGTAAGATAAATTATCTAACAAAAAGAAAATCTTAAGAAAAAAGAAAGACAAAAAATCTAAGCTCAAAAAACTAAAATTTGAAAAGGAAAACATATTTATATTACATTTTTTAAAAATTACTATACTATGCGAAATGCTTTGTAAATTATTAAATACATAAATTATTACGTAAATAAATTAAATACATAAATTATGTAATTATTAAATACTTTATTAAATACATAATAAAAATGTATAATAAAAATACAAAATTATTAAATACATAAATTACTATGTAAATATATTTAGTACATAAATTATTAAGTTTACTAATTGCTTTATTAAATAAAGTAGCAAATTAAATATAATGTTTACAATAAACCCATTTTATTTGAATTATCAATAAATATAAATACATTTATATAAATATGTATTTTTTTATAAACCTTTGCAAACTTTTTCTAGGATTAATTTTATAAACACTTTTATTGGCAAATTTTTTTAGCGCAAAAGCAAATGTTACATAACAACTCAAATTTAATAGTGTAATAAAAAGTACTGGTTTCTATAAACATTAAAAAAACTATTACGTTGAAATTTTTAAAAAATAAATTTACAAGGGGTTTTAAAGATTAAAATATTTGTTTGAAATTTATAAAAACCATCGGACAAAAAAAAAAACGAAAACAAATACGAAACTATAAATTTAAATTAATAACTAATTGCAACGCTTTAACATGAATAATAAAAACCGGGCTACTTAATTCAAAAAAAAAAAAGTAATGCTTTGGTGTCTTTTAAAAAATGAATTAACTCAAAAAAATGACGTATTTTATTAGCGTAGCTGTGTGTTCAACTTCAATTTTGTTTTGTATAAAAAATAAAAAGTTAAAAAAAAAAGCTTATATACAATACTCAATTTATTAATAATTTTGGAATAACTAAAATGATTAGAAAATAAATGCAGGCCTTGCGATAAAGCGTCGGGCGATGTGAATTTTACGTCGTCCAAGGGCAATTTGTGTGTAGCTAGGGCTATTTGCGTCGAGCAAAAAATTTTTTGTTTGAGTATATTTAAAGATATTTTTGAGCGGAATTTTAATGAAGTAATTTTCGATTGTTTTAACATTTAATAAAGTATTTTAAAAACCGCACGCAGTTAATATTAAAGTTTGAATTACAAAAAAATTAAATATGCTCATTATTTACAAGTAGAAAAAATTCAGATTAAACAGAGTTTAAATCTTTTTAAGCTAACATTTTAATAAAATTATTCAGCAATAGCAAAGTTGTCGATAAAATTGAACAAAAATACTTTCTTTTAGTTTTAGATTTTTAACTTAAATAATTATTTTTGGGTTTGTTAGGTTTTAAAATTATTCCATAGATTTAAAAATATTTATTAACTGTTAGACGTATTTAAAGTATTTAAGAGTAATTTCGAGTAAACATTTTAAAAATTGGTAAGCGCAAATAAAAAAAAAGGATTAATATTAAAACGTATCCTTGAGGTCGCGATCGCGTTACAAAACGAGTTACCATCTTTGTAGGGGGAAAACATTGAACAAAATGCGTTGTTAGCGCGTTTTGTTTAATGCCTTAACCCGGCTTTAAAATTAAAACAATGAATAAAACACGCTAATCACGCGTTTTGTTCACTACAAAGATAGAACTCGTTTTGTGACGCGATCGGGACCTCAAGGATTCTACTTGATTCAATAAAAAAGTACAGCTATTAAAATTTTTGTAAAAAGTAACTCGAAAAAAATTACTTAAATAATAACAATCACTTTTTTGTTAAAAGTTACCGAAACTCAAAAAAAGCGTGCTCAAGAACAGCTGCTGAAAAATAGAACCTCAATAGTTTTTCGAACAATTTTTAATAACAATTTTTAAGAATAATTTATTGCTGAAATATGTCTTTTATACCTATAAGATTTTTATTCTAACATTTTATTTTATTTTATTTTACCAAAAATAAAATTCCTTGTAAACATTAAAAATCTATTCAAAACGTTCGTTAAAGTTTTTTAGTAAAACGAGTGATTGTGCTTATCAACCGCTTTATGAAAATAAATAAAAATAATAAATGAAAAAATATTATATAAAATCGCTAGTAAAAATATTAGCTATTGCACAGTTTTTAATCAAACAAAATTAAAATTTCCAGTTTATTACTCGCTGACTTTTTAAAAAGAAAAAATAAATATTTGAAAAACTTTAAATTACATATTTGAGAAAGAAAAAAAATCAAATATTAGCATATTTTATAATCTTTTTTAAATGTTTA